ATAGATAGATAGATAGATAGATAGATAGATAGATAGATACATAGATAGATAGATAGATAGATAGATAGATAGATAGATAGATAGATAGATACATAGATAGATAGATAGATAGATAGATAGATAGATCTCAACATCCCAAGAAACCATTTAGGCTGGGCACCGGTGGCTTACTCCTATAATCCTAACTATTCATGAGGCTGAGATCTGAGGATCGAGGTTCAAAGCCAGCCCAGTCAGGAATGTCCATGAGACTTATCTCCAATAAATCACTCCGAAAACTTATCTCCAATAAACCACTGTGGTTCAAGTGGTAGAGCGAGCACTCGCCTTGAGCTGAAGAGCTCAAGGACAGCACTCAGGCTCAGAGTTCAAGCCCCATGAGTGACAAAAAAAAATGTTTTAGCTAAACAAATGCATCAACAGGAAGGAATAGAGCTGAGTTATAGGAGACCAGAGAGTGTACACACACATGCACACTAGCACACACCAGTGCACAAACGCACATGCACGCACACACACACAGCAGGCAGAAGTCAGCTGCTACTTTGTAAGTTTATACTGGATTTATAAAGGAAGCAGAGTTCCAGACTATGAAGCAAGCCATGAGAAATACTACTATGTCTGGCACAATGAAAACTTGTTCCACTGGGGGACAACATAGGGACAAAGAATACAGAGAAATGTTCATTTTGGTTTTGTTTTGTTAAACAAATCATGAGGGGTAACTGAAAAGCAAACAGAACCTGCCAACATCACCCAGCCCAAGGAAGACACATGCTACCACCACCCACCCCCGTTTCTTAGGTTACTCACCAGAACTTCAATCTTGAACTCCTCCATCACATATTTCCAGTACTGGGAAGACCTGATGCTGAAGGGGTCAAAGGTCAGGTTTTCCATGGGGGTCACCAGGCTGTCCACTCTGCCCAGGACATCATCTATGCGTTTAGGGTCCCCCGTCACGGCCTTTAGTTCTGGACCAAATATGTTGTAAAATTCCTCTAAAACCTGGGCGATTGGAGGGGACAACAGAGGGGACGCTGTGGTGAGCAGGAAGTGGAGGTGGGCAGCTGCAGGGGTCAGCCACACAGGCCTCTCCCACCTCTGGCTCTGGCCACAGCTTGCTGGGTAAGGTCTAGACACCCCAGCGGAGCTCACAAGGCCTGCACACTGGGCCGCACCACTCCTCTCCTCCACTTCTCCATTCCCCTCCCACCTGCAGAATGTCATAAAGGTCCTGGCAGATCGAAGCCATGTAGTCTGTCCTCTCGAACAGCCGCTTGCGGTCGAACTCCCAGCGCGCCTCCCGGCCCGAGGCCTCAATCTTGGCCCGGATATCGAAGTAGGACTTCTTCCACAGGGTGAGGGTCTTTTTGGCATCCAGGGTCTTCTGCTGTGCGCTCGCCCGGTTCTCCCTGCCAAGTGGAGGGCCGGGCCTGAGTGCCAGGCAGAGCTCCCGCCTCTGGGCCCTGCATGCCTGGGCAGCAGGGCAGGGATCATTCGAACCCCAGATGTCCCTGGCTCCATGGCCTCACTGGGAAATGGTCCTCTGCAAGGGAGTCCTGCTGTGAGCCTGGGGGAGTGGGGGAGAGGGGCAGAGACCACACAACCAAGACCGCAGTTCCCAGGTAGATTTCGCTGTAAGAAATGGGAAATCATGTGGCTGTGGCCCTGGGTGCCATGTCCAGCATGGAAGGAAAAAGAAGAAAAGAAAGATCTTTACCCCCTCAACTTCCTCAGGGCTGCTCCATCTGAGGGAGGCTGGGGCCCAGGACTGAGCACCCCAACCCTCGGCCTCAGCATCCCAAGTCTAACTAGGAAAGACAGTCCCATTAAAATGTAATATTAACAAGTGGAATGTATATGCCATTGTACAAATGAAACACAAGTATATAGACATGTATATGCATGGGAGCCTTGGAATACTACTCAGCCATAAAAAAGGACTGGTATGGCTACGTGAAGGAACCTTGCAGAAATAGGATGTCAAGTGAAAAGCCAGTCACAAAGGGCCACGTGAGGCCATGTGTCGCATGATTCCTAGAGCTGGAGGGCTTGGGGGGATTGGGGAGCGAAGGGGCTGCTCAAAGCTTTCTTGGAGAGATGAGGACGTAAATGCTTCAGTTGACCAGATGATGCAGCACACTTATGTGGCCTCTCTGGATGGGCAGGGGTGGGCGGAGCTGTCATGGGGAAGCTGGCCGCCCACCGCTACTCACTTGAAGAGCGTGCGCAGGTTGACCACTCTGCAGACGCGCTCGGCCAGCTCCCAGGCGATGCGCTCCATGAGCGGGATCATCCTCTCGTCCTTGTTGTAGTGTCGCGAGATGATCCACACCATGCGCAGGGCACTCACCATGGACGGGATGGTGTCCAGCACCACACTGAAATTGGACCCGTGGGTGATGTTCTGCCAGAGAAGAGGCGGAAGAGCAGCCTCAGCTCGGGGCCCAGCCACTCCCACAGCCCACACGTTCCCCAGGCCAGGGTTTCAATGTCCGGGATTTAAACCACTCCTCATAGAAGGAAGGGTTTCATAAGCAAAAGTGGTTGCAAATAAGGCTAACAGAGCCTACTTGGAAAAACAGATAAAGGCAGTGGGCACCAGTGGCTCATGCCTGTAGTCCCAGCTGCTCAGAAGGCTGAGATCTGAGGATCACAGTTCAAAGCCAGCTCAGGCAGAAGAGTTCATGAGACTTATTTCCAATTAATCAGCAAAAGGCCAGAAGTGGCACTGTGGTTCAAGCAGCAGAGTACCAGACTTTAGCAAAAAAAACCCTCAGGGACAGCGCCCAGGCCCTGAATTCAAGCCCCAGCACTGGCGCACACACAGAAAGATGGAATGAACGTGGGGCTGTGTGGCACAGCGGAAGAGTGCTGCCTAGCAAGCATGAAGCCATGACATCCATACCCATCACCACATGTGTATGCACGTGTGCAGACGTGTACCAACACACATGCACATGCATACACGTGTGGACACGTGCCCACATGGAACTGAAAAGCTCCGCCCCGCTGCATGGCCCACACGCCACCTTGAAGTGGCGCTCCACGGTGGACAGGAAGCGCACGTTGTCCGAGGCCTCCATGTGGAACTTGAAGAGCTCGGTGAGCATGGGCTGCACGTTGGACAGCAGCATGGAGTCTGCCCCTTTCAGCACGTCCAGGACTTTCCTCACCACTGGCAGCTTGGTTTGCTCATGGAGTGCACTCAGCGTGGCGTTCCGCTCCCGCCAGAATTCAATTTCGGCCAAGGGGCCATTGCCCTGAGACAGATGCAATGCGGGGGACACTGAGGCTTCTTGCAGCTCATTCTGCCTTCCTGACAGATTCACGCCAGATCCTGACACTGGCCTTCAGGGGTAGGTGCCCCACCTGGGAAGACCCTCTTAGGGTGACCTTTGGACTCTGGTGGGAAATGCCAAGACACTTTCCTGTGGAAATGTGGGGGTCCTCAAGATGTTCCTATTAAGGAAACTAGCCTGAGGAGGAGCCTCATACCCGGAGAGGAGACCACAACCCAGAAAGTCACACAGAGACACCCCCCTCCCCCCCCGCCGCTGGAGTCCTGATCGAGCTGTACCTGAAGCTCTCCTTCCCTCTGGACTTCTCAATTCTATGAGCCAAAGGGCCTCTCTGTTATGTAAGCCAGTTGACTTGGGCTTCATGATCTGACAGCCCAAGTGTCCTGGTGGATACACACAAGTGTCTTTAGCGATCACGGGCTAGCTCAGAAGGTCAAATGCCCGGGAGCGGTGTGTGTGTGGGGGGGGGGGTGCTGACTGCATGTGACCGCTCTAAGGCAGGGTCCAGGCAACTCCCGGACCCCCAGGTCTTTCTCACGCCATGAGAGTGACCCAAATCCAGGAACAAGTTACCTGGGGGGTCTTCTTGAGCTGGCCCTCCAGGGCAGTGGAGATCTGACTCAGCCAGTTCATCACACACTGCTCCAAGGCCTCCACCGTGTTGGAGTCAGCTGCCAGCTCTGACACGTCCCCCTCCAGGCTGATGGTTGGCATTTCTAACTTGATCTCACCTGGTGGAGAGAACACGCGGCTCAGCCACTGGTGAGAGCAACGTCCAAGCTAACCAGCCAGCTCTTCTCGCCATGTCTCAGTGCAGCAAGGTCCGTCACCTCACGCTGCTCTTTCAGTCAGACACTGTGGTGTATGCATCTAACCCCAGCTCCCCAGGAGGCTGGGACAAGAGGATCAAAGTTTGAGGCCAAGTTTAAGCAATACTATGAGACCCCTATTACAAAAGAGTTGTTTTGGCTTTTTCACTTGGGATGTAGTTCAGTAATAGAGCACTTGCCTACCATGCCCAAGGCTCTGGATTCAACCCCCCACCCCACCCCACCCCCCAAAAAAAACATAATTAAGCCAGGCACCAATGGCTCACACCTGTAATCCTAGCTACTGAGGAGGCTGAGATCTGAGGATCATGGTTTGAAGCCAGCCCAGAATAGAGTCTGTGAGACTATCTCTAATAAATCACTAAAAAAACAGAAATGGAGCTGTGGCTCAGGTGGTAGAGCACAAGCCCTGAGCAGCACACGAGACCTGAGCCCAAGTCCCAGGACTGGCATGCATGTGTGCACACACATGCACATCCACACACCCTTCAGGATTCTGTTTTGTGTTGCAGTACTGATTTGAAATCAGGACCTTGCACTTGCTCCCCCGGTGGTCTACCAATTTTTGCCACACCTCCAGCCTTGCTTTTTGCTCATAATTTTGCCAATGGATTCTTTTTTTCTTCTTTTTCTTTTTCTTTTTTTTGGTCATGAGCTTGAACTCTGGGCTTGGGCGCTGTCCCTCAGCTCGTCAGTTCAAAGCTAGCGCCCCACCATTTGAGCCACAGTGCCACTTCCGGTTTTCTAGAGATAAGAGTCTCATAGACTTTCCTGCCCAGGCTGGCTTTGAACTGCGATCCTCAGATCTCAGCCTCCTGAGTAGCTAGGATTATTGGGGGGGAGGGTGGTTTTGGTTGTGGGGCTTGAACTCTGGGTTTGGGCCAATGGATTCTTAAGCTGACCTCAAATCTTAGCCTCCTGAGTCATGAGGATTACAAGCCAGAGACACTGGCTCCTGGCTAAGCATTCCTCATGAAGGCGAGAGGGGAAACGGACCTTCAAGCTGCTGCAGGGTCCTTTGAATGTTGCTGGCAAACTTCTGGATGTTCATCAGAAACTCATCCCGTATCAGCTGTGCACTGTGGTACTCCATGGTGTCCCCCCGCAGGCTGGGCAGGTCTGCCTCCTGCTCCGACAACTCAGGGATTTCGGTGGACGACCCCGTCAGGTGGGCCGACATCTCCCCCTTGTGCTGGTTAAAGGACAGTGCTGGCAGGAACACCTGAAAGGCCAGGAGTATCAGACAAGTCACATGGTGTTGCCCTGCACTCACGCACTTAGATGCCTCGGCTTTCAATGCTCTTGGACAGGCATGCAAAGTGATGGTGTCGGGAGTGATGGTGCATCCCTGGAATCCCAGTTGTTCAGGAGGCTGAGGTGGGAGAATGGAGAGTATCAGGCCAGTCTGAGCTAGAGTGAGACCCTGTCTGAAAACTCCAAGGGCTAGGGGAGGAGCACAGTAGTAGAGTGCCCGCCTGCAGGGGGAAGGCCCTGGAATTCACAACCAGCACTGCAAAGAAAAGAAACAAATACTCAGAGAAAGCAAAGCGTTCAAGCATACAACTCTAAAGAGAGAATTACACCTAGGATGAAAACAACCCAAGGGAGGCTGGGCGCCCATGGCTCACACCCATAAATCCTGGTGACTCAGGAGGCTGAGGACTGCGGATCTCCACTCAAAGCCAGCCTGGGCAGGAAAGCTCGTGAGACCCTTATGTCCAGTTAACTACCAAAAAGCTGGAAGTGGATCTGTGAAACTCAAGTAGTAGAGCGCCAGCCCTAGCTTAAAAAGCCTCAGGGAGGGGCTGGGAAGGTGGCTCAGTGGTAGAGCGCTTGCCTTGCATGCCCGAGGCCCTGGGTTCGATTCCTCAGCACCACAGAAGAAAAAAGCAAAAAGCCGGAAGTGGCGCTGTGGCTCAAGTGGTAGAGCGCTAGCCTTGAGCTGAAGAGCTGAGAGACAGCGCCCAGGCCCAGAGTTCAGGCCCCACGACCAGACCCCCCCCAAAAAAAAACCCTCAGGGAGCTGGGCGCCAGTGGCTCACACCTATAATCCTAGCTATTCAGGAGGCCGAGAGCTGAGGATCGAGGTTCAAAGCCAGCCCGGGTAGGAAAGTCCGTGAAACTCTTATCTCCAATAAACCACCAGAAAACTGGAAGTGGCGCTGTAGTTCATAGTGGTAGAAGGCTAGCCTTGAGCTGAAGAGCTGAGGGACAGCGCCCAGGCCCAGAGTTCAAGCCCCACGACCGACAAAAACAAACAAAAAACCTCAGGGACTGAGTTCAAGTTCCCAGGATGGGCTCACACACAAAAAAAGTCTGATTGTTCAAGAAAGCTCAGACATCAGCCCTCAGTAAGTCATGCATACCCCCCTCCTGGGCACCTGTATGTGTATTTGTGCGCACACACATGTGTGTGTGCAGACACACACACACACACACACACACAGAGCCCACTTTACCATGGTTTCTGTTGCTCCTCTCAGGTCACTGCCTGATCAGTCATCTTGTGTGTGTGTGTGTAGGTGTGTGTGAGCCTGTGTTGTGTGCACCTGTGTGTGGTGTGCATCTGTGTACACATGTGCATGAGCCTCACGCTTTCCTCTTGCATGCTCCAGAGCACAGTCCTTCCTGGTGGCCTTTTTCCACCCCAGCACCCACCTGACACACAGTGTCCTTCAGGGAGCGTAGCACGTGACCGCTGAGGAGCCCGAACTCCAGCGCCTCGGGCAGAACCTCCACAGCCTCCTTCATGTCGCTCGGCTCGTTGACTGTCTCTGCACAGACATGAGTGGCCCATGGGTGAGCGGCGGGGGCCAGCAGGCTCTAGGTCCAGCCTTCCTCCTCCCTCTCTGCTCACCGCCAGCGCGAGACTCCCACTTAGGATACGCACACACGTGTGGGTCTGGGCTAATCTCTGAGTTTTCGAGACCCAGCCACATTGGCTCTTCCTGTTGAAGCAAGCATAGCTGAACACCCCAAGAAGCAGAAACAGAGTAGGCTGTCTTCACTGCTGTGCTTGTGTCCCCCAAAAAGAGGCTGAACCTTAAATCCCCAATATGATGGAACTAGAACATTCTGGAAGGTAGTGAGACTGTGGGGGGGGCTCCCCTCTGACACACACCGTGGGGTGTGAGACGGGGGGGGCTCCCCTCTGACACACACCGTGGGGTGTGAGACGGGGGGGGCTCCCCTCTGACACACACCGTGGGGTGTGGGGGGGCCTCCCCTCTGACACACACCGTGGGGCGTGGGGCCCCATTGGCCACAATGTCTTACAGGCACAGTGTCTTCCACCTATAATCCCAGCTACCCCAAAAGCAGAGCTCAGGATTGTGGTTTGAAGTTAGCTCAGAGAAGTTAGTGAGATCCTCCATCTCATCCAACAAGCAGGTCACAGTGGGTCACATCCGTGCTCCCAGCTACTCCACTCAGGAGACAGAGGTAGAAGGATGGTGGTTGAAAGCCAACCAGGAGAGAAAGTCAGCAAAGCCCAACCTTAGAAAACCAAGCTAGTGAGGGGCTGGGAAGGTGGCTCAGTGGTAGAGCGCTTGCCTTGCATGCATGAGGCCCTGGGTTCGATTCCTCAGCACCACATAAGCAAAAAGAAAAAAAGCCAGAAGTGGCGCTGTGGCTCAAGTGGTAGAGCGCCAGCCTTGAGCTGAAGAGCTGAGGGACAGTGCCCAGGCCCAGAGTTCAGGCCCCACGACCGGACCAAAAAAAAAAGTAAAAGCCAGGTGCCGGTGGCTCACGCCTGTAATCCTAGCTACTCAGGAGACTGAGGTCTGAGGATCATGGTTCAAAGCCAGCCCAGGCAGGAAAGTCCCTGAGACTCATCTCCAATAAACCACTAGAAAACTGGAAGTGGCACTGTAGCTCAAGTGGTAGAGAGCTTGCCTTGAGCTGAAGAGCACAGGGACAGCATCTAGGCCCAGAATTCAAGCCTCACAACAGAACAAAAAAAAAAAAGTGTAAAAAGGTGGGCTAGGAATGTGGCTCAGTGGTAGAGTACTTGCCTCACATGCATGAAGCCCTAGGTTTGATTCCTCAGTACCACATGAAAAGAAAAAGCTGGAAGTGGCGCTGTAGCTCAAATGGTAAGAGTGCTAGCCTCGAGCAAAAAGAAGCTTAGGGACAGTGCTCAGGCCCAGAGTTCAAGCCCTAGGACTGGCAAAAAAAAAAGTGTAAAAAGAGAAAAAGATACACGTGTGCACTCACAAATGCACACACACATACACATGTGTACAGGCACGCATGTTCCCCCCCACACACACACCAAAAAGATCTACCTGTTGTGTTTCTGAGAAAAAACACCAGGTTGTAGTCCAGGCACTCCTCGGGGACTGGAGGGCACAACACCCGGAGGTAAGGCTTCTCCACCATGCGCTTCTCTATCCGCTGAATGGACAGGGACACGGTCACGCGTGCAAGCCCACTCAGCCCCACTGTGCTTCCGGAGCCCTTAGCTCTGTGGTCCCCGCCAGGCCCTTTCCACAGTGCAATGTGGCCACGGGCACAATGGGGGCCAGTGGGAGGCAGCCTGCCAGCGAACGCCGGGCCCCTCACCTGCACACTGCTGGACCCTTGTGCCAATCGGCTGTTGGCACAGCCACTCACCCGAGTCAGGGGAGCCTGGCCAGGCATGTGCCTCTCGCAGCAGACCAGGTCTGAACTTTGTTTTCAGGTGAGTGTCTCAAAGCCCAGCCGGCCAGCCACATACATCCTAGCCCTTAGCACCCCCCTTAGGCCTGAGTTAGCCACAATTCCCATATTGTGTGTGTGAGAGAGAGAGACAGAGACAGAGACAGAACAGAGACAGAACAGAGAGGAAAGTGAGAGAGAGACAGAGACAGAGATAGAACAGAGAGAAGAAAAAGACAGAGAGAGACAGAGAAAGGGAGAGAGAAAGGGAGAGTGAGAGGGAAAGGGAGAGGGAGAGGAAGAAGGAGAGGGAAGAAGGAGGGAGAGAGGGAGAGAAAGAGACCTCACACTGTCACTTGGCTATTTTGCTCAACCATGTGAGCCATGCTTCCACTTCTGGCTTCTTGGTGGTTAAATGAGAGAAGAGTCTCATGGGCTTTCCTGCCCAGGCTGGCTTTGAACAGTGATTCTTAGATCTCAGCCTCTTGAGCAGCTAGGATTACAGACAGTGAGCCACTGTCTGTACTGAGCCACTTTCAGTACTGGTGCTGGAACTCAGGATATCGCACTTGCTAGACAGGTGCTTTACCGCTTGAGCCACACACCAGCCCCTTTTTGCTTCAATTATTTTTCAGATAGGGGCTTGCATTTTTACTCAGGAATAGCCTTACATAGACCATGATCTTTTCATCCTTGCCTCCCACAAAGCTAAGACTACAGACAGGTACCACCATGTCCAGCTTGGTGATTGAGATGGATAACTTTTTGCCCAGACTGCCTCAAACTCAGATCCTGTTAATCTCCATTTCCCAGGTAGCTGAGATTACAAGCATGAACCATGGTGCCTGACCCTGTAAATGCTGCACATTGTTGTTGTTTTTTTTTGTTGGTCATGGGGCTTGAACTCTGGGCCTGGGCGCTGTCCCTCAGCTCTTCAGCTCAAGGCGAGCGCTCTACCACTTGAGCTACAGCACCACTTCCAAATGCTGCACATTGTAAAGAAAGACCCAGCCCCTGAGCATCCCTGGGTAGTGACCTCTGAGCTGGCAGGATGCCCTGTCTGACATGGTGTCTTTGTGCACGCGGGCTGTGGGCTGTACCAGATCATCATGCTAACCCCATGGTGTTCATGAATGCCACCGTGTTGACCTCTGGGGTGGGGCTGAGTGAGCAAGGCCAGCCACACGGATGCTCTGTGCTTATGGGAGGGACCCCAGACAGGATTGCTCAGGTGGGCGTCCCTGCTGGCACACACTGGTGCTGCCCTTCCAATGCCAGCAGGGTTAGTGCCATCTCAGGCCACCTGGGAGCAGAGGCCTGGTCTCACCTGGATTGTACCTTGGATGGCTTTGATTTCCTGAATTTGAATTCACGTCCTCTCAGTAACAAACATGACATGACTGACAGCTGCTTTGCTTCCCAGTCCCCTGGCCCATTGCTGGATGTCAGGGAGGTCGCAGGAATCCCACACAGGGGTCCTGCCTGCACTCCCCCTCCCAGTGCTAGGCCAGGGACCCCGTCTTAGGTGAGGGCACTTGGCCCAGCACTGGGCATACCTTGGCAGGAGCACTTTCTGGCAAGTCTCTGTTCAGGTCATCGCTGCCCTCGCCGATAAGTGATGGGGTCATGGAAGTTCCCCGCAGAATATTCTTAGCTACAAAATAGGACACAGTGCATAAGATGGAATCGTGGGATTCCCAGTCCTGCATGGCACCAGAGGATTTCATAGGCTTGGATGACAGCTGAAGGAGACATATGTGCAACTGGCAGACTTTTTTGCGGCTGAGGGGCTCTGCCTGGCCCTGGGGGGGAGGTCAGCCATCAGAGATCAGCAAGTATCTGTGCACATGTGCGTGTTCCAATCATGGGGACCACATGTGCTGTGAGACAGGAATCACAGCTGACAGGCCATCCTTACCTCTGAGATTTAAAATGCATCAGACAAGATGAAAGAAAAGTAGTCTTTCAAAATGCTGCTCTCAGCAGGTACCAGTGGCATGCCCATAATCTTAGCTACTCAGGAGGCTGAGATCTGAGGATTGTAGTTTGAAGCCAGCCCCAGCAGGAAAGGCTGTAAGACTCTTAACTACAATTATGCACTAAAAAGCTGAAAATGAAGCTATGGTTCCAGTGGTAGAGCACTAGCCTTGAGCACAAAAGCTCAGGAACAGAGCCCAGGCTCTATGTTCAAGGCCCAGTACAGACACACAGATCTACTTTAGATAATTATTATAAGAGCTGCCACTGTGGAAAACTTTGTGAAAGCATGAGACTGAAGTCCCACTGCCACTGCAGGAGATGCCTGTCCTCGCCCACCAGGGGCCAAGGCGTCAGGAGGCTGGGTCAAGTACTCACCCTGCTTTCCCTAGCTGAGACATGCCCAGCTCACCCATTATTGGGCCTCAGGAAGGTTCTAGAAGAGGAGGCCACTGTGATTTGCACAAGGAGACTCTACACTCCAAGACAGAGTATGGCCAGTGTTCATGGAACTGACCAAGGCCTTGCCATGGGGGTGTTTTTTTGTCCTGGGCCAGTGAACTGTGAACTGTGTGCCCCAACACTCCTTCTACAGGGCATGGTCTTACTTAAAAGGGGGTCTTGCTGGTATAATGAGCCAAGATGGGGTTATGACAGACTAGGGTCATTCAGAACCCAAAGCCCGGTGCCCGTGGGAGACAAAGAGCTGGAGGCCATGTGACCACCAGGCCAAGGCAAGAAGGAGGTGGCCACAAGCCAAGGAGTGCTGAGGACTCTGGCTGCCCCAGAGGCTGCGGCAGGCAGGGGAGGAGCCTGCTCAGAGCACGGCCCTGCCACAACTTGATTCTAATCTTGGGAAAGGATGTTTCCTGCTATTCTGCCCTGGGAGACTCATAACGTATTTATGAATACCCCACATAAGAGACCCAGGCAGCCTTTCCCAGTCTGCCCACCCCTTCCCCACGGGGCTCCCCCTCCCTATGCCACACCTGCAGTTTTATCCATGGCCTCTGTTTTTTGAGACTCAGTTTCTTCTTCCACAGCCTCCTCTTCCAATGGGACAAATATGTCACTGTCTTTGTGGCCATATAAACAGAAAGAAAATGCAAAGTATAATTTTTCGTGACATGAAACACTTGGGGAAGGCCATAGGCCTGGGATACAGCCCATAGGAGATGGGTGCATGTTGCAGAAAGCACAAATGTTCCACGGGGGCCCCATCCAGGTCATTGGGACAGCCCAGAGAATGCCCCAAAGGGTCCAAAAAACCTGTTTGGAGCTGTTTGTGAGCTTAGGCCTAATAAGACTGGGAAGAGTGATTGTCTGAGGCTGTTGTGGGGAAAAGGGGAGAAGGTCCCTCCATAACCCTTCACCCGGGGTCATTTTGGGCCCAATACCGGGTACCGCAGCTGGATGGTGGCTGCTGGTCTACACATGGGCCAGAGGTACAGCAGGAAATCACCATCCACTCTTAGCAGGGTGACAGAAGCCCAAAGTGCAGCCATGTTTCAGGGCCTCCATAATTTTTTAAAGCACATAATTCAAGGTTACTGACATGGTGGAAAACCCACTAGTGTACTTTGTAGTCACAATTTCTACTGGTCACAATGACAGAGCTTGGACCAAAGGTGCCAAGGAGATAGGATAGTCAGACATGAACTCCTGTATAAACCAAGTGAATGACCAGAAGGTTCCATCCCAAAGCATTGCTTCTGGGTGGTCCCCTCTCTGTGTATTTGTGGATTTGCATTTCTCCATAATAGCTACATACATTCTGTTGTGTGAGCAAATAACTTATATTTAAACTAAAGAACGAGGTGTGGTGTTACCTATAATCCCAACACTCAGGAGGTAGAGGCAGCCTGGGCTACATGGAGAGACCCTATGAGGGGTCTGGGCAGGGACCCCACCTCTGGGGCCTGTTTCTCTGCGAACCTTGTCCACTGGGGGGGAGTGGGAAGGGCACTCTGTGCTGCCGCTGACCGGAGGGGGGCGGCGTGACCGGGACCCTTCCCCGGTGACTCCTCCCGGCAGGGCAGGGCGGGTCCCGGGGCTGCGGGCGGCTCACCGATCTCCACCTCCACCTCCACCTCCTCCATGCGCGTCAAGCACTGGAAGAAGAGCGCGGCGGCCTCCTCCTCCTCCGTGCCGCGGTTGAGGAAGTGCAGGACCAGGTCCTCCACCTCGCCGTCGTCGCGGCTCAGCAGCTCCTCGAAGAGGCCGGGGTCGCTGAGCCCAAAGGCGGCGAACACGCGGTCCCGCATCCACTGCACCCGCATGTCGTCCATGGCGGCGCCGGGCCGGGCGGGCGGGAGCCGAGCCGGAGCCCAGAGCCCAGAGCCGGACGGGCGTCCGTAGCAACGGCGCCCTTAGCAACGGGCTTCGGGCAACGGCGCGGGCAC